AGGGTAGAGTCCTCCAAGTGATAGTGGACGGCCTCGCAGAGATCGAGGTCGTCGCTGTGGTCGCCCTCAGATGACAGTGGGGCAACAGCGTCCTGCTCACCATACTCCAGCGCGCTGAAGCGGCGCGAGAAGTGGCGGCCCTACTGCGTGGAACGGCGGGGGCGACCACGGAAAGGGGTACGGCGCTGGGAAGTGCCGTGAGAGGAGGAGGAAGCGTAGCCCGTGCGCTGGGGCTGGGAGGAGGAGGCGGGGTGAAGACGGGCTCGCATCCGCTGGTGGTCCCTGGCGGCCTCGTAAGCTTGTGGGGCCGATGTGAACTCGTACCGCCATAGCTCGGAGCGGTACTCGAGCGGAAGGCTGGCCAAGAAACGATCGATAAGGGCAACCTCGGGGAGGAACGCCACGTCGCAAACGAGGCAGGCGTCCTGAAAGACCTGGATGTGGTGATTCAGGCCGGCAGTGCCACCAGAGCCGGACCAGCGTGTAGTGACGACACGCTCGACGGCGTCAGTCACGTCGTATCGGGCTCCGAAGCGATCCTCGAGGAACGCCTGGAAATCCACGAAGGTCGGAGTCCGACCCTCAYRAAGGGAGTAGRCATARAAATYCTCCCAGGCCTCGAAAGGACCGCCACGCAGGCGCGTGGAGAGGTGACCCACCCACGTCTCGGGTGTGGCGCCCATGAGCTTGAGTGTGCGGGTGGCAGACTGCAGCCACCGAGACACGCGTATGCCTGTACCGTCATACATGGCAATGTCCGACAAGCGGATGAGTGGCGCGCCACCGTTTTGGCGGCGAGGGGATCGAGGAGCGGAGGCCTGTGCCACGACTGAGTAAGTCGGCGTAGGTCCTGGAGAAAGGGGCGCAACTGACTGTGCGCCCGGGCCGCATGGGGGAGCGGCGGTGGCAACAGCGGCAGGCTGCGAGGGTGCTGCGGTAGAAGAGGTCGCAGCAACCGCGGGAGTAGGAAGAAGGTAGGAAGGAGTTGTATAGGGTGCAGGGCGCGGAAAGCGAGCCTGCATGGGAGAAAGGGTAGAGGAGGTAGGGGGTGCGCCCGAAGGCGCGKCCACCTRTGAGGGTGGGGGTGGCTGAAGGCGTAAGAGGGCGAGGTTGGCCCGGAGCTGGGCAATCTCATCCTCGAGACCTCGAACGTAGGTCGTGCGAGGGGTAGCAGGGGGAAGAGTGGAGGAAGTGGATGCACAAGCGGCGCGGGGCATCCCGGACGGGGGAGAGCCAGGTGGCGCTGCGTTCGTGCGAAGGGGGGGGAGGAGCGGGGCACCCGGAAACGTTGAGACCATGGTAACGGGTTGTGGTCCCGTGGCCGTCGTAACCGGAATTTGGGCCGGTGCTTCCGTAGACTGAGGAAGGGCCTGACTCGTGGCGGCCGTCAAGCTAGGGGCGTGGACGGTCACCAAAATGGCCGGGTCGGGGGCGGCAGAGGAGGAAACTCCGCCATGGCCACCCTGTCGGAGAACTGGGGACCCGGACTGAGAGCCAGGAGAAGAGAGAGGATGAGGAGAGGAAGGACGACCAGCGTCCTGGAGTTGCTGCACGCCGGCGCCAAGGGTCGCCACCTACGCCTGTAAGGGCCCGAGGGTCGCGAGTTGCGCCTGGATGGGCACGAGGGTCGTGAGTTGCGCCTGGATGGGCGCAAGGAGGGAGGTGAGGAGGGTGTTTAGATCCCCCTGGGGCTGATGCCCCTGGTCCGCCGACACGGGTGTGGAGCCCGATGTCGTGGTCATCGCCGTGTCGACGGCGTGTGACGCACCGTCGGCCATGGGGAGATGACGGACCGGACTGGAGGGGGCCAGAAGAGGTCCGCGTGAGCGGAGGGCGTAGGGGGAAGTCCGCGGTAGAAAGCGGCGAACGGCGCTAGCAAGGYTARCACGGGCGYCGTCAAAGGGGGAGGGGTGGTTYGGGTCCAGGGTGCCCGAAGAGGACGGGGAAGWAGGGGGGGGKTKRRGRAMCC